CCTAACGAAGGTTAAATTATCGCAAGGATTCATTACAGCCGAACAATGCAACAATTGTTACGGATATGGGCACAATACCAGTGTATGCTGCAGTCAGAGGTTCCAAAGACAATCCACGTCGAGGGCCCACTGGCCAGCAAAATACTGTCAGCACTGCCAAAGGTCCGGGCACACCTTGGAAACCTGCTGGTTTAAAGACCAGCAAGGAAGACCAGGGGTCCCTCAGGATTTTGCGCAGCCAAATCAAGCCCACAAGAATCAACCTATGCCAAGGCAGAATCGAAATTGGACACAAAATAGAGCGCCAATTTGCGAATTTTGCCAAAACATCGGCCATACGATTCAAGAGTGCCGAAAGAAAGCATATCAGGAGCGTGTCAAAACTCAAAGACTCCAGCAAACTCCACAAGTACAACAGGTACGTAAGAAAGCGAACTTGTACCTGAACTTAGGAGAGATAAATAAGTCTCCCAGTGTCGAACTATTAAGCGAAAATTTCAAAAATCAAAAGGCATTATTCATGGTCGACACAGGGTCAGACATTAATATAATTAAGAAACAAGCAATCTCAAATAAAATAGCTATAAATACAGATATAATTTTTCAATTAAACGGGATAACTAAAAGCTCCATTTACACTACAGGATACATCAAAGTAAAAATACTGGAGACAGAATCCATCTTCCACATTATTGAAGAATTACCAATTGAACAAGACGGAATTTTGGGCACGGAATACTTTAAAAGCAGTGGAGCTAGCATCAATTACGCTAAATCTATATTGATCGTAAACAACAATATAATACCGTTCAAACAACCAGCAGTAGTAATACCATCCAGGACAAAAACCATGATACCCATAAAGGTGTCAAACACAGAAATAAAAACCGGTTTTGTCCCAAAACTGCAGCTTCACCCACAACTATATATGGGGAATGCTGTAGTCACGAACCGGGATGGCATAGCATTTCTATACGCAATCAACGTTGGAGCAGAAGATATAGAAATTGAAATGCCAGCTGTTGAACTGCAACAATATGAAGAAGCACCACAAGATGAAGATGCAGTCCACCAAGAACCTGAGCGAGCCCAAAAGATTCTAAAGATACTACAGACAGACCATCTAAATCAAGAAGAATTTGCCAATGTAAAGGATATAGTAAAAGAGCACGCTGACAGATTTTATATAGATGGAGATAAACTCCCAGCAACAAATAAAATCTACCATAGAATCATCACAGCGGATGAGATGCCTGTAAACGTTAAGCAATACAGGTATCCTCATGCGTTAAAAGATGAAATCAATCATCAAGTAAATGATCTCCTTGAGAAAGGAATAATCAAACATTCATCGTCACCATTTAACTCCCCCTTGTGGATAGTACCTAAGAAACAGGATTCACAGGGAAACAAATTGTGGAGATTGGTGATTGATTTCCGAAAGCTAAACGAAAAAACAATCAGCGATGCCTATCCACTACCCAATATTACAGACATCCTGGATCAAGTGGGAAGCGCAAAATACTTCTCCGTGTTTGATTTGAAGTCCAGTTTTCATCAAACACCAATGCATCCAGAAGACAAGCATAAGACGGCATTTTCGACACCATTTGGGCACTTTGAATTCAACAGAATGCCTTTTGGGTTGAAAAATGCTGCAGCTACGTTCCAACGTCTGATGAACAACGTCCTAGACGGACTGCAAGGACTGGAACTATTCGTGTTCATCGATGACATTGTAATTTATGCAAGTTCGTTACAAGAACACGAAACCAAAGTCAATAGGATGATGGCAAAACTCAGAGAAGCAAACTTATGCTTGCAACCTGACAAATGCCAATTTCTGAAGAAAGAAGTAGCGTACCTGGGTCACATAATTACAGAAGACGGTGTAAGACCTGACCCAGCAAAGGTTGAAGCAGTCCAGAGGTTCCCCATTCCTAAGACTGTCAAAAACATTAGACAATTTCTGGGATTGTGCGGATACTACAGACGCTTTATTAAAGACTTCTCTAAGATAGCCAAGCCATTATCCGACCTGACGAAGAAAGAACAAAAATTCGAGTGGTCCAGCCAACAGCAGCAAGCCTTCGAATTCTTGAGAAACGTACTATGCGAAGAGCCGATCCTGCAATATCCAGACTTTGAGAGACCATTTAATATAACCACTGATGCATCCGGAACAGCGGTAGGAGCAGTCCTAAGTCAAGGAGAGATAGGAAAGGATCAGCCAGTAGCTTACGCCTCAAGAGTAATGAATAAGCCGGAAACGCAATATTCCGCAACAGAGAGAGAATTACTTGCTGTAATATTTGCAGTAAATCACTTCAGACCATATATATTTGGCAGGAAGTTTTATCTAATTACAGATCACAAACCATTGATCTGGCTAAATAGTCTCACAGATCCTACATCGAGACTCATGCGATGGAAATTGAGATTGAGCGAGTACGATTATGAAATAAAGTACAAACCAGGCAAACAAAATATAAACGCTGACGCTCTTTCGAGAAATCCAATCGAAGATATAAACGCCCTGCAAATACATGCTAAGAGGCTGCATTCGTCTACGTCTGGGTCAAAAAAGAAGCGTAAGAAGAAGAAAGAGTGGCACCAATATCCCACTCGCCCCAGACAAACGACGACCACTTCAGAATCGGGCAAACACAAGAAAAGGAAAGAGTGGCACCAATATCCCACTCGCCCAAGACAAACAACAACCACGTCAGAATCAAGAGAATTCAAAAAGAAAAAGGAATCACACCAGTATCCTACCAGACTCAGACCAACAACTACGACTGAGTCTGAAGAACACAAAAAGAAGAAAGAATGGCATCAATATCCTAGAAGACCAAGGCCAACAACTTCATCTAGTTCACAGGATATTAAAAAAAGGAAAATAAGCCATAAACATTTAACACGACCACGAGACGATTCCTCAGAATTCGAAACAAGGAAAAAATATCGGAAAGACAGGATACGAGAAAGAAGTTTTTCTCAAGAGGACAACGCAACAAAGAAAAGAGTAAAAGAGGATTATACAAGCTCAGATGAATCTCAATATTATGAGACAGATGTATCTGAAGAGCCACCAAAACCAAGAAAAAGAACAAATTTAAATCCAAAAATATATTCCTCTGAAGAGATCAGAAAGAAAAGAAGACTTAATGAACAGCAAGTCATTGTAGAAGTACATCAACCACCACAGGATCGAAAATATATCATTCCACAGAAAAGACCTATAAATAGGGAACCAGTAATAATTGGAGATGAAATAGAAGAATACAACGAAGAAACAATTATACCGAAACACATTTTCAGAGAACCACCTAAAATCGATTCTTCTTCAAGCACAAGAGGAAGATCTCCAGTACTAAAAAGAAAAATAGATAAAGAGACTTCAAGCGATACTCTATCAGCTCCGATTACACCCATCAAAATTAAAAAAGAAAAAAATCAACCACCAAAAATTAAACAAATAAAACCCAAAATAATCAGCAATAAACCAATTATATTAAAAATAGAAGAAACCGAAGACCATCTATGGATGAAAAAAGGCACAGCAATAATATTTCTTAACAAAGAAGGACAACCAGAAGATATACAATCAAGACAATTTATGGAAAATGAAAAGATTAAAATTTCTAAACCACAAAGTAACATCATGCAATATAAAATCAAAAATAGATTAATTTTTGGAATGATAGTAGAATCTAGAGAAACATTACCACAGAAAATTAAAATTCTTCATCAAATATTACTCCAAAAAGGAATCCAGGAGTGCAGCATGCCAAATAGACAGGGTTTAAAAGCAATTCTCCAGATAGTCTTTGCAGACTCTAATATCAACATCACTATCTGCAAAGGAACGGTCCAAATTCCACCTAAAGAGGAAAGGAAAAATATAATTAGGGAAAATCATGAAAGCCCAGTCGCAGGACATAAAGGTATCAGGAAAACTTACCTTAGAATCAGGAACAAGTATTATTGGAAAAACATGAAAAAAGAAATTACCGATTACGTTAGATCCTGTATAAGCTGCCAGCGAACCAAGCTAGTAAGGATGAAGAATAAGGAGCCAATGGTTATCACAGACACTCCTTCAGACGCATTCGATAAGGTGTCCCTAGACATTCTTGGACCCTTGCCAATGACACATAAAGGATACAGTTACATCCTCACTATACAGGATAATTTAACCAAATACTCCGTCGCAGTTCCACTTGTATCAGCCACATCCGAGGACGTCGCAAGAGCATTCACTAATTCATTCATATGCCAGTTCGGTAGTCCTAAAGCTATCCTCACTGATCAAGGGACATGCTTCACATCCTCGCTAATCAAAAAGCTAGCCAAAATCTTCCATATCAAGACGTACCGTACATCATCCTTCCATCCTCAGTCAAACGGGTCCCTGGAAAGAAGCCATCACGTTCTGGTTGAATATTTAAAACACTACATATCTAAACAAGAACATTGGGACGAATGGCTACAGCAAGCAATGTTCTCATACAACACAAGTGTTCACGAGGGAACAAAATTCACACCTCATGAACTGGTTTATGGAAAAAAGGCAAGATTGCCATCAAAATTTATACCATCTGACAGATTAGATACATACCCTGACTACGTAGATAAACTATTACAAAACTTACATGAAATTAGACAAACCGCAAAAATAAATCTAGAACAATCAAAATATAGACAAAAATACTATTACGATAGAAAAATACGTCCAATTAATTATAAAACAGGAGAAGAAGTAATGCTCTTAAATCCACCAAGAAGAAGTAAATTACAAAAAGAATACACTGGGCCATACACTGTTTTAAGAAACATAGAAAAAAATAACATAGAATTGCAGATAGGTCCCAAAAAGACTAGGATAGTACACAAAGATCGACTAAAGAGGGCCTATCGACCAATCTACAGCGCGGATCAAAAATAAAAGTCGATACGACAATCTATATAATTTTCGGAACATACGCATGCGCATATACAGAATTTTAAACCTACCGCCATATTGCGCATAGAACGCAAAAAGCAAGGCACACGAAAAAGAGACGCTACTGAAATTTTTATTACTATAATATAAAAAAAAAAATGGGAAAAAGTTAGAAAAAGATGGATCTGAACGAGGTAGAACATATTTTAAATATAAACTTATGCAAGAAAGTAAAACTTTTTCTTTTTATTGTAGTTTGAAGAAATTGGGCAATATATCTTGGACGCTGTCTGTATCCGCAACATCGGCCCAGTTTTCAATAACAATTTGGCGCACAGAATTGGCCGAACATGTATCGACTGTGCATTTAAAATGGTCCCGGAAGCGAAGGAGATGTGGTTCTTTATGGGATGGCACAACCATGTATCCAAAAATACAGATATCAACTATATCCACTGCATAATATGCAGAAAAGTGCTATGCAGGATGAGACCAGCAGCCTCCTGCACTAGCTGCAGAAGTAGACTATTCGCAGCCGACAATGAACATAAGGAAACCTTTCGTGAAGGATTTATTTTGCCGACTCTAGACCCTAACATTTTTCCATTAAAGGATGTTGTTGTGCAAAATGAAGAGTACAGAGTCATTACTCATAATTAATATTAATCCATGTTTTCTTTCTTTTATAAAATACTTTATTCATTTAAATATATATATAATTATTTTTCTTCTATAAACGAGTGAATTTATTTATTTCAAAACTCACGAACCATATTTATTTCGTTCGATTTATAATTGCGCAGAATCGCAAGTCCGCCATATTAGCATAGAAAGAGATAGAAACAAAGAGCGACAAAGAAAGCTATACAAAGCAACGCTACGCACGCACCGCTACATTCAATTTATAAAGAGCGAAAATGGTGCGACGCGCAGGACGACGCGAACGTTTAAAAAGATTAAGAAGAGCATTAAAACAGTTCAGAGAGGTAGAATTATACTTTTAATAATTTATTTCATTTATTAATTATTTGTTTTCTACAAAATTTTCAAAGATGCCAGTACAAGAAAAAATAAAATCACCGCAACCACCACCACCACCACGATGGAGGTTAGTCGTGATCGACATACCAGAATTCGACTGGCAAGCATACAGACGGTTACAAAAAGAGGACCCTAGAAGGAAACATGGAAAAGTTATTCGCTACTTTGGAGTCCTATCAGCATCCCCAAGAAACAGCAAAGAAAAATGCCGCTGCGCCCTTTGCCATCTCAGAAGATGCAATCACAGTCTCTTGAGGACAAGAGACAAACGCACGGGGGAAGCTGTAACGACCCGTTAAGAACACTTAGCACCTTTTTCCATTTCGTTTTTGTTGTTATAATTTATTTTTAGCACAAAATGGTTGATTTAATTTTTGCGTTTGATTGAATTTATAAAAGAGTAATTAGTTTAATTTGTATTATACTTCTTATAATAAATAAATTTCATTTAATCGATAACATAGTCTGATTGAATAAGTCGATAAGCGATAAGTCGATAAACAATTAGTCGGTAAGTCGGTCGGTAAATAGATTATCGATAAATGATCGACAAACGAATGCATACGCGCCAGCGCAACCCCGATGATCTCGCGGTGGGGTGAAATTCTAGAGTAGGGTGACCGCGTAGACTAAGGAGCAGGGGTGCTCGGCCGTCACGTGATGGGGAATTCCAGAAATTCAAAGGAACCCTATAATAAAAAAAACGCTAAGTCAGCAGAATCTGACTATAAATAGAGGCGTTTCACGCAGAGTCAGATGAGATCTTCCCTGGCTTCGGTCAGATGCAGACAATACTCTGGAAGTAGAGGAAAAGCTTGCGCTGAATTGCCTAGGCAACTATAGAGCGCGAGATTAGCTCTATCCTTCTCTTTCAGTAGCGGCGTACGAGAGTTCGGATCTGTGGACACCCTACTCATGGTACGCAACGTGTTGAACACGTGCTAATACTAAGCCACACGTTCAAGTGTAAAGAGCTAGCGAGGAGCGGAGCTCCTTGAGCAGGCCTGTGTTAGCATAGCTCTGGCTAGACCAGAAACCGATTGCGACCTGTAGGTATAGTCCGCTCGTGTCCGAAGGTATCATACAAGCTACTAGAATATAGTTTTCCAGTACTTAGTGTAACTTGGCAAATTGTACAGAGTATTGGCTGTATTCGAAGATCAAGTCGCGTTAATCATATATTTTGCACTGTATTTCATTATCTAGGGCGTACCTATTATAATTTCTTATTGTATTATATTATCTAGGGCGTACCTATTGTTATACTTAATATTATACTTACTTAGAGCAATTATAGTTAATTTACTTACTTAAATAAAAGATAATTTTTAGTTTGATACATTAATGTTGGATTTCACTCCTTAACCGCACACCACACGAACCTGTAATCCCAATTCTCATTCATACGAGTCGCCTTCTTGGGGAACCGCTCTCCCTATACGTCGGTGCAGTGACGTACCTATCACTGGGTCGTTACAACACGATCGCGTCCAAGGACGGAAACCGTCGGAGAAACGCCCAGTGGCACGCTCCTCTCGACGGTCGGGCGTAAAGTACATTTAAAAACCTTGAAAAGTACGAACGCACACAAGGAATGCGAGCGCGCGTCCTGTCGCTGAATCGTGGGTTGCGAGATTCGAACAGACACACGGCCGGCGACGATCGGTCTAACTAATGGACACATAGTTTTTCAAAGACTCGCTATCGTCGCTTCTCAGCCGGTCCGTAAACAACACACATCGATCAGGCGGACGCACGAATCTTACCACGGTGCGTGTTTCGTAGATTCCAGGTTACCCGCAAGTACCTCTCTCTCCCTCTCGAAAGAGGAATCTCGATCCGTCCTTTTTGGACAATGGAGAAATCTTTTTATCGCAACACGGATGGCAAAGAAACAACCAAAGCGTAGGAGCGTGGGGACGAGAGCGACGAAAAGAACGTCGCGAAAACAAAGTTTCGACGGTTGCTCGTTCTAATACATCGTAGTTTCAACTCTCTCAGTTTTAACCACTCCTAGACGCTTCGTAAACTTTTAACAATTCTTCGCCTCCGCGAGTTTCATTTCGAATAGAGCGAACGCAACACGGACCAAAAAAACTCCGGTGATGCCAGATCATTTAGCAAAGATCAGACGGCGGGTCATCTGTATTCCT